CTTCCTTCCTTCCTTCCTTCCTTCCTTCCTTCCTTCCTTCCTTCCTTCCTTTTCATTCCCATCTTCCTTCCTTCCTTCCCTCCCCTCTCCTCCCCTCCCCTTCTCTTCCATGTTGCCCAGTGGTTAGAATGCAGTATTGCAGGCTAATTCTGCCAATTGCCAGTTCAATCCTGAATGCCTCAAGATTGACTCAGCCTTCCATCCTTCTAAGGTGGGTCAAATGAGGACCCAGATTGTTGGGGACAACAGGCTGACTCTGTAAACCGCTTAGAGAGGGCTGTAAAGCACTGTAAAGTGGTATATAAGTGCTATTGCTAAGCCAGGAGTGGTGAATTCCAGCCAGTGGCCAGTACTAACCACACTCTAGGCCCAGCGTCCCTGATTTTTGAAGATTGATGGATAGAAAAAAATCAGTTTGGAGATGGCTAAGGGGTGCTATCAGAAAGTGTCTGCCATGGTTGGAATACTAAATAAAAAACAACCGTTTTGCAGAAATAAAACTTGGAGATAACTTTCTTTTTTGGAGAAATGGGTGCATTTCCAGATGGATTGCTTAGGGTATCTCAGGATTTTCAAAAGCTTTGCTGAAAATGCAGCAGCGGATGCGCAGATTAAAGGTGTCCAGGTTCGGCAACTTTAAAACTCGTGGACTTCAACTCCCAGAATCCCCCAGGCAGAAGTTTAAGGATCCCACCGAAACGTACCTGATTGGTGGCCAAGATCTCACCGAACTGTTTGCGGACATTAAGATGCTCTCGAGCCAGAAGAACCGAAGCATGGGCAGCCCCCAAGGAACAGGATGCTGGAGAAGAAACCAAACACAGCCTCTGAACCCCAGATTCCATCCGACTCTGGTCGGTACCCAGGGGTGAGCTGATACCAGTTCACCCCAGTTTGGGCGAACCGGTACCGAACATGTAGCTAATTTTATGGCCGGTCAGTGACCGGCAAATCCCAGTCCTGCCTGGCCCTGCCCACACCTCCCCTCCCAGGAGTCCCCATGCGGCCCATTTTGGATCCCAGGTCACTACAAGGCCCACATGGAGACTCCAGAAGGCTTGAAACGGGTCCGTTTCTGACTTCCGCAGAGCCTCCTGAGCCCGGGGAGGCCATTTTTCCTTCCTGGAGGCTCGAGGAAAGCCTCCGGAACCCGGGGAGGGCAAAAACACCCCCCCTCATGGTGCAGGAGGCTGACTAGGCCACGCCCACTATGGCCACGCCCACCCAGCAACCAGGCAGAGAACTGGTTGCTAAATTTTTTGAAGCCCACCTGTCAAGGCTCCAACATGCACCCCCATTCAAATCGTAAGTCTCTAGCTGCATCTCTCATAGTAAAAAAGATTGATTTATTAGGAGTTGACATGTCGGCGTTTCCTGGTTGCAGCCGACTCTGACACATCATTCATTTTCCCCTTGACCCTGGCCTTCCCCCCACCCCCTGGATGTATATTCTCCAATGAGACAGATCCATAGCCAAGAGTCATCAATCATGCTCTCCAGTAATAATCTCGCGCGCCAACAGCTTTGGCTGTCATAGCGATTATCTGAAACATTTAAGGAATGCACTGTCCCCCCCCCACCCCACTCCATTTCTGCTGGCAACTAAAAAGACCAAAGAAGTATTTTTTTTAGTTGACACCATCCGTCAGTACCCCATATATTCCTCCTTTTTCTTGTGCCATATCCGTCATCGGACGTTGGCGATCCTACTTTCCTTACCAATATTAATTCTCCCGCCGTTGAGGCCCTGCATGGCGATGTTGAACCCGTGGCCTTCCTCTCCTAGCCGGTTGGCTACCGGAACGGCGCAGTCTTCGAAGATGACCGCCCGGGTTGGTTGCGAATTCCAACCTACCTGCAGGAAAAGAGGCAGCCTCTTTGGTGCTCCAGGTGGCCCCTCCCCCACCCAACCTGGGACGCACAGGACACAATGCACGGCTCCCTTACTTTCTTCTCTTTTTTGCCAAAACTCAAGCCCGGAGTTCCTTTCTCCAGCACCAGGCAGGAGATGCCCTTCGGGCCTTCCCCGCCTGTGCGGCACATCACCACGTAGAGGTCAGCGTCGCCACCACCGCTGATGAAAGCCTGGGAGAAGAGAAACAGAAGTTAAGAGATTAACCGAGTAGGAAGCAGTGGTGAGATTCAATTTTTTTTAACTACCGGTTCTGTGGGCGTGGCTTGGTGGGCGTGGCAGGGGAAGGATACTGTAAAATCTCCAGTCAGAGGTAGTATTTGCCGGTTCTCCAAACTACTCAAAATTTCCGCTACCGGTTCTCCAGAACTGGTCCAAATCTTCTGAATACCACCACTGCTCCCCATCCCACTAACCTGCTTTCCAGATCCATTCTCCTGTGCAGGGCAACCAAAGAAGACCCAGTCAATCCGCTGGGACTCAATGGGAGGCAGAGAATAGATGGGATTGGCGGGGCCAGTCAGAGGTGGATTTGCTGGTTCTCCGAACTACTCAAAATTTCAGCTACCGGTTCTGAACAACCGGTCAGAACCGGCTGAATACCACCTCTGGTTGGAAGGTACCTTTTAGGTCACCTAATCTAGGGGTGTCTGCACTGGCACCAGTCTGCTAGTGAAAATGGAGCTTGAGGGGGAGGTGGATCATCCCGGGCTCCGTTTTCGCTGGCAGTGGGCTATCAAAACTAAAACTAAAAACCAAGCAAAAGGAGAAATGTTTCCCCTTCTGCATTTGAGCATGCAAGAAGGGGCAGGAAAGAGGAAAGACAAAGAAAAAGAAGGAAAGAGAGCAAGGAAGGGAAAATAACAAAAGAGGGGAAGAAGAAGAGGGATGAAAAAGAAGAAAAGGAAGGAAGGAAGAAAGGAGGGAGGGAGGGAGGGAGGGAGGGAGGAAGGAAGGAAGGATGGTCTCAGGGAAGTCCTGCCTTAGTACTTGGCCACCACAGGTGCTTCCCTGACATGAGTCCCATATCAGTGAATCTCTCCTTGTTCGATGTATGTTTTAGCCTCCAGTCTCTTAATCATCCTGGTTGCTTTTAATAAAATAGAATTGGAAAGGACCTTAGAGGTCTTCTAGTCCAACCCCCCCCCCCCCCCCCCCCCAAGCAGGACACCCTACACCATTTCAGACAGATGGCAGTCCAGTTTCTTCTTGAATGCCTTCAGGGATGAAGCTCCCACAACCTCTGAAGGCAACTTCTGTTCCATCAGTTGATTGCTCTCCCTGTCAGAAAATTCCTCCTTATTTCTATGTTGAATCTCTCCTTGTTCAGCTTCCATCCATTGTTCCTTCTCTGGCTTTTGGGTGCTTTGGAGAATAGCTTGACCCCTTTCTCCTCTCTGTGGCAGCCCCTCAAATATGGGAAGATTGCTATCCTGTCTCCCCTGGTCCTTCTCTTCCCTAGACTAGCCAGGCCCAGTTCCTGCATCAGAGGAGGAGTTGTTGAAAGTGGATTGCTCTGTTGGTTTCTCTAATGGAGAAACATCAGAAAGGATCCGGTAGCCCCTGTTCCACCTAACCCTTTTCCAGCTAGTCCTCGTCTTACGGCCACAATTGAGCCCAACATTTACATGGCTAAGTGGGACAGTTGTTCGGTGAATTTTACCTTGTTTTACGACCTCGTTTGGCCATAGTTAAGTTAGTAACATGGTTGTTAAGTGAATCCGGCTTCCCCATTGACTTGGCTGGTCAGCATGTCGCTAAAGGGGACCACGTGACCCCAGGGGCACTGCAACCATCATAAATACGAGTCACTTAGCAAGCACCTGATTGCGTGACCATGGGGGTTGCTGCTGCAATGATTGTAACTGTGAAAAAGGGTCATAACTGTAAGTCTCTTTTTTTCAGTGCCGTTGTAATTTCGAACTGTCAAACTGAACAAACTGTCGTAAGTCAAGGACTACCTGTATTAAGAGGCACAAGCTGCAGTTCACAAAAAAACGATGCCTTTTAATATAGGGGTTAACTGGAAAAGAGACTTCCAGAATTCTTCACGTTGGTTCTTTGGAAAAGTGTGATGACCCAGAGAGTGTAACACAAACGTAACAAAATCCAAAACGTAAATAAATGTCCTTTAATGCCTCCAACTTGGCCCTACTGTTCAATAATACTCAGTTGGGGATAAAACGTACTCAAAAATAGTCTTCAAAAGAAAGCAATACAGTCCGAACTTAATGAGCAGATAGAGGTGAAATAAAAAACCAAACAAACTACAATGATGAAATTTCCACAACGGAACAACAGAAGTATTTACCAAATTCAAGGAGATAACAAGGCACAGTCTGTTGGAAGGACACCAACCAAGATAACTTCAGACCAAAATAAAACACGATTTGTTTCCAGCGTTTGCCAGTACACAGGTCCAAACTATTACTCAGTTCTCACACCTGCAGCCCATGAAGAGGATCAAGGCCCTCTCCTCCCGAATAGACCGTGTCTCTCCCTTATCCTCTCCTCCCTGCGTGCCCTAGGATGGATAGGGGATGGGTCTGGGTCCTCCTCTGACTGCTCAGCAGGCCTCTGCCCTTCCCCAGCCTCCTCCACAACCTCCGGAGTCACACTTCCACTCCCTGTCGGCTGTTTCTCCTCTCCCTCAGAGTCAGTCTCCACCAGGGGCATGGCAGAAAGGGGTACCTTGGAGCCGTTGAGGATATACACATTGCCACGTTTCTTGGCCGAAGTTAACAATGAAGCCGCATCGCTTCCGCTTCCTAGTGAGAAAGTGATAATAAACTATATATATATATAGAAGTGTGAAATACCCCTCATGCATCATCCCAAAATCTCCAGAACCATAAAGCCTACAAACTTGAAATTTGGCGCCTATGTTCCTCTTGGCTTCTAGGGGCTCACTAAGAAAGGATTTTTCAAAATGACCATCAGAGCATTAGTATTTCCTATATTATTATTAACATGCTCTGATGCTAAGGAGTTCTACTCCCCCTCCCCACCTGAAAAGAAATCTGTTCCAAATGCAAAACAAAAGCAGAGTTTCAGTTTCACTTTCAGTTTCACAGCACCAAGCAGCTTTAGTACAGAACCGTTCAGCTAAGCCACACCCAGGCTTCTTGCTGTCTCCTTGCTTACACAGCAAATACTGTTTCAGTTTCCAAACAGCCCCCAACTGTCTCACACACTGACAGGATGCTAGCCAGTTGGATACCGATGGATGCTGGTAGGCAGAGGCAGAAATTTCCCCCCCAACCTTATTTTCCTCTCCAAAAACTAAGCCCGACCATATAGTTTCGTCGTGAAGGACAGGTATTGAGCTAGTCCAGAATATTTTCATTCGGCAACTCCTGCCCTGGTCCCCCTTTTCTCTCCCATCAGTTCAAAGCTTCCCCCAGTTATCCTCAGTCCAACCCTCCTCCGTCTGAAAGTGGAAGGATCACCTTTAGATTCGAAACCCAGATCTTTACGACTGAACCCTAAAAATCCTGGTGTGGATCCATAGCACAGCTAACGTGGGCCGCCCTGGTTTTCCAAGCACCCGGAAGGGATACGGTGGTCTCACCCGGCTCGGTCAAGCAGTAAGAGGCGAATTTTTCCATGCTGCAAAGGGAAGGGCAGAATTTCAGCCTCTGTTCTTCGTTCCCAAAGGTGTCGATCATCCAAGCGCACATGCTGCAGCGGAGGGAGGGAAACCAAACCGTGGGTTATGGAGCCGTCAATAACAGGCCCAGTTTGGTGTAGTGGTTTTAAGGCATCAGGTTAGAAACCTTGAAATGGTGAGTTCTAGTCCTGACTTAGGCATGAAAGACAGCTGAGTGATTTTGGGCCAATAACCAGGAGACGGTGAGTTCTAGTCCTGCCTTAGGCATGAAAGACAGCTGGGTGACTTTGAACCAATAACTAGGAGATGATGAGTTCTAGTCCTGCCTTAGGCATAAAAGCCAGCTGGGTGATTTTGGGCCAATCATCAGGTGGTGAGTTCTAGTCCTGCCTTAGGCATGAAAGACAACTGAGTGATCTTTGGGAACAATCACCAGGAGAATGTGAGTTCTAGTCCTGCCTTAGGCATAAAAGCTGTCTGGGTGACTTTAGGCCAATCACCAGGAGACAATGAGTTCTAGTTTTACCTAAGGAGAACTGATTGGGTATTTTTGGACCAATCACAAGGAGCCTATGAGTTCTAGTCCCACCTTAGGCATGAAAGACAGCTGGGTGCCTTTGGGCCTATCACCAGGGAACGGTGAGTTCTAGTCCCGCCTTAGGCATGAAAGGAGACTGGGTAACTTTGGGCCAATCCCTCTCTCTCTCAGTCCAACCTACAGGGTTGTTGTAATGAAAAAAAAATAGGATAAGAAAGGAGTATTAGATAAAATTCATTGCCTTGAATAACTTACAATGTCATAAAGGCAGGCTAAAAGTCCAATAAATAAATAAAATAAAAACAGATTATAAATGCAGACACACACACACATCCAATACCTCCAACTGGGCAACCCCTGGGGTGTTGGGCCCACCCAGAAGACCCCAAGGGTGAAGTCACAGCAGGAAACTCACTTGTGGATGCTGATGTAAGCCGTGGTGCTGACGCAGCCGGTCGAGAGAGCCTCGAAGATGACGGAGGTGTCAAGCCGAGAGAGCCCAGAGCCCCCCACCTCTGGCTTCACGTAGATGCCCCCAAATCCCAGCCGAGCTGCTTTCCGGAGGGTTTCCACCGGGAATATTTCCTGCCAGTAACAAAGACGAGAGGGAAATGGGATCAGGTCAATTGCAAGAGCTTTATATCCCCTCGCTTTTGCAACCTCGTGCGTGCTGCTCAAAAGCATCACGGAATAAACATTTGAAGTGAAAGGGTGAATTGTTATTGGAACAGTTTCCCCGACAATTTTCATCCCAGGGAGAAAGGAAAGACTCTATAAAAAAACAAAAGG